CCCCAAAACCCCAAAACCCCAAAACCCCAAAACCCCTTGTTAGTAAAAGAGAGTTGAATATGAACCTTATTCGAATAATCGGATTCTTATCCTCAACTTAGAGTGTTTCATCAACACCCTTTAAGCTGGCGATAGCGGCTTTGAGAATTCCTGCGTCATCTGCAAATGTGCATCTTCTTTGGATAAAATTACACAAGTCTTTGATAGTACTCACTTGTTCGGAGTATTCTTTTGCCTCCAGGTGGGCTTTCATGTTAACTCTATCCTTTCCTTCCCCAAAGAGTTGGATGGGTCCTGGGTTAACAAAATTGTCATTCATCTCCCATTGCTTAGAAAGTACCTTGGATTTTTGATATACGAAAGCATTCAAGTTGACTTCTTCAGATTTGATATAGACTTTGTCTCTTCCATAAACACTAGATTTAGCCTTTTTGTCCATTAAAGCAATGAATGGAACTCCTCCTACTTTCCAGTCTGCTGGGTCAGACATAAGTCCTCTAGCGGTAACTCACATACCAGTAAGTCCATGCTCGATTAAAGCACCTGCAGTGTAGCCATAGGTAGAGGCAAGGGAGCAATCGAAGAGACTTGGCAAAGATCCTCTTCCTTGATAACCAAAGAAGTGAGTAACTGGGCTGAATGGAATCTTTACTCCGGTTTCTTCCTTTCTCTTCCTAAATTCTTCAGTAATCAAGTGACTGATAAGCTTCTCAGTCTGGACTTGAGCAAGATCGAACTTCCCTGTGATCTTTCTGGTAATAAAGAGTTGCTTTTTAATGAAATCTGGAAGGATATTGAAAACTGAGAGACTCCATGGAGTGAGACAGTCATCTGCATCCTGGGAATTTAGTAATTTTTCTTCAAGTTTTTCGACTTCTTCGCTTGTAGTGCAACTATTGAAAGCTTGATTGAGCTCGTCAATGATGGTAGAATAATGAGAGAGATGTGAAAGCAATCCATCTGGGATGAGGATTGTTCCAAAGTCCTTTCCTTCCTCGTGTCTCTTTTGAATTAAATCGCACAGTCTGCTTACAATTGCAGGAAGAGCCTCATTATCTCTAGCACTTTCTTCTGAGATTAGAACTGCATTTGGACCGGTTTGAAGAGCACTCTCCAAGGCTAGATGAGAAGGATCTCCTCCCATGAGTCTCATGAGATACCAATATTTCACAGCAGAAGCAGCATCAGTCATAATGTTCCCAATAAGCTGTGAATAAAGTTTGGAAGCAGTGTCAAATCCAACCGTTGATTCGATATATTTTCCACAGATATTTCCGAAAATGGTTGAAGGAACTCCAACAACTTTAGTTTGGATATTTTTCTCCAAAAATATATCAGTGAGATGAGCAGCATCGGAGAGTGAGTGACTAGCTCCTACAAGAACGAGCCCGCTTAAGTTAAACTTAGTACAGGTCTCTAGAGCAGCTTCTTGGTGTTCTGGAGTTCTGATTTGGTCAACAGATCTTCCTAAAAATTCACATCCACCTTGGTTTCTGTAGAGAGCAAAATTTTCTTCAGTTATGATAATGTGCTCTCCTTTGAAGAATCCTTTTGTTCCATTCGTGAATCCAATAAGTTCTACATCTCCATGGTTTTTAGCAAATCTTAGAAGTCCATCAATAACATTGTGCATTCCTGGGGCTTGCCTTCCGCAAATCACAATACCGATTTTAATATGAGATTTCTGATTGGCTGACAACTCTTCATTAAGCCTAAGCACTTCCTCATCCTGAGTAAAGGTATTTGATACTTTGATATCCTTTTTATCAACGATCTCAGTAAAGTGAGTGGTGTAGGTGTCATTAGATAGGTAAGGGTATTGTTCGTGGAGTGTTTGCTCGATATCGATATTTTTGGGTCTTGCTTTCCTAACCACGACACATCCATAATCCCCATTTTCAAGGAAAGATGGAATTCCAGCCTTATAGCTTAGCATTTTCTTGGCATCTTGTGAGAGATTCGTCTCTGAAGTCGTGAAGTATTGCTGATAGTCATCTAAACTCTTCTCAAGCTTGATTCTATCCTCAGTCTCTTTCTCCAGAAGTTCAAGATCAGGAGATCTGACAAGGAAAGGTACATCAATTGAAGAAGGGTCGTGAAGTTGGATAGGTCCCGGAGAAACATTACAATCGTAAAGACTCCACCTATCTTTGAATTGGAGGTAGGTTTTGTACATTGGTCCATCTAGCTCGACAATGTACTTGGTGATGACAGGCTTATCTTTTCCTTTCCTTCTTTCCATTCCCATCATTGTTGGTAGAGGACATCCTGCTGAGATCCAGTTTTTCGGATTTGAATCTTGCAAATTTTTATTAATTGCCATGTAACCAGAGTAACCAAGCGATATCAAAGATGCAGCAGTTCTTCCAATCGCGTAACAATATTGTGTATCGAAATTACTAGGGATCGCACATCTTCCTTCGTATCCAAAGTAGTGGCTTTGAGGGTGGAACTTGCCAGAGTACTCTCCTTTGGCTTCTCTTTCCTCTAGCTCCTTCTGACACAACAAAATCATGAGAATTTCTGTTTCAATCTTTGCAACCTGGACATTTCCATGTGGATCTCTATCTAACAAAAGTTGGTCTGCGATTTCTTTTGGAAGAAACTCAAACAGGGCTTTATTATCGGCAGTAAGGTGCTCAAGTACATAAGCTCTAGGGTCTTCAATATCAGTCTTTTCTCCAAATAGGTCGTTTATTTGGGAAATCAGAGGCTTCATTTCTGGGAAAAATTCTATAATACCTTCTGGAATTAAGAAGACTCCATAGTTCTTTCCGAGTTCATTTCTTTTGACAATCACATCTACAATCTCGTTGGTTACTTCTTTGAGGGTTCTGTTTTTCTCAAAGATCTCTTCTCCAATGAGGACGAGGTCTGCTCTAGTCTGAAGGTAGCACTCAAGAGCAATATGAGATGCTGATCTTCCCATTAATCTAATGAAGTGATAGTATTTCTTTGTAGATCTATTATCGACGATAATATTTCCAATTTGTTCGGAGTAAGTCTTGGTGGCAGTATCAAATCCGAAGGACACTTCGCAGTACTCATTCTTCAAGTCACCATCAATAGTCTTTGGAGCTCCGACAACTTTACATTTGCTTTCATGAGAATTAAAATATTCAGCAAGGAGGCATGCATTGGTGTTTGAATCATCTCCTCCGATTACTACAAGTCCGTTTAGCTCAAGATCATTACAGTATTTAAGAGAGTTCTCAAATTGCTCTGGAGATTCGATCTTATCTCTTCCAGATCTTATCATATCAAATCCTCCCATGTTTCTGTACTCATTCATAAAGTCATCTTCAATTTCAACAAAGTTTCCAGTGAAAATACCGTGAGGACCTTTGAGAAATCCAAAGAGTTTGGAATCTGGGTGGATATCCTTGACCATATCATAAAGCCCAGAGATGACATTGTGACCCCCTGGAGCCTGTCCTCCTGAGAGAACACACCCAATCCTAATGGGTTCTGCAGTTTTTAAGATTTTTCCACTCGAATCATCTACCTGGAGCTCAACATAAGGCATTCCTGTTTCGCCTAATAAGGTCTTGAACAAGGGCTTAATTTCTTCTTTGACTCCAAAGTCTTCCTTTCTGATGTTGATCTTGCTGTTAATATCCAATGAGTCTGGATATACTGGGGTAAACTCCTGTCTATGCTTCTGAAAATCACTAAAAGGTCTTGGCTGCTTGGCTTCCATTTTATGAATATTATTTGGATACGCTTCAAGAAATTTATCCCCAAAAGGGGTTTTGGGGTTTTGGGGTTTTGGGGTTTTGGGGTTTTGGGGTTTTGGGG